TGTACAGTCGGCGCATCAGACAAGTCCGACGCCGCGGCTCGCTTCTCCAATTATGGGAGTGTTTTGGACATATACGCTCCTGGAACCGATATTGTATCTACATATATTGGAGGCCCTGCCGCAACTGTAAGCATACTCGCTCTCTCACCTTATTATGCTTGACATCCGTCCTACTTTAGGGGTAGTCATTCCCTATCTCTGTGCTAATATTTGACAGAACACGCTCAGCGGCACCTCAATGGCTAGCCCCCACATCGCTGGTCTAGGGGCCTATTTCCTGGGTCTTGGGGGTCCAAAGAGACCAGAAGAACTGTGTGCATACATCCAAAGCATCGCTTCCAAAGATATTCTTACTGGGGTACGTCCTAGGACTAAGAATCTACTAGCATTCAACAACAACCCATCTGGGTAGAGTTGTCGAGTTATCTGGAATCGACATTTGGCGTGAAGAGACCAGAAGTGCGGTTTCCGAACTGATGCTAGTCTGGCTTCGTCTGGCTTTTCTCTCCCACCTTTTTACAGTGCCCTCAATATGCCTGCTTATAGCTAACCTAATGATTGATTTATGCTATGATAAAGTACCTAGGAAGGTAGCGAATGATTATTAGTACCTAGGTATACTTTTTCAATCATTATTCTTGCAGATGGACGGATTCGCTTCCTAACTTATGATCCCCTGCTGCATGTACAAGTTGTGATGTGTGCGGCGTGAGGTTTACCTAGTGAGGTACTTAAAGGCATCACTTCCGAGAGCTAACACGAGGAAGCGTGTAGATCTCACATCGATTGGCACTTAAACTCGTTCTGCGATCTCTTGTGAACTCGGTCAGCTGTGTTGGGTGTGTGCTCTGGTGCATGACTAGCACTAGCACCTAGAATGCGTGCTCGAGTATTGTCGCCCTACTCGGAACTCGGTGACCTGCCGACGTTTTCCAGTAACAGATAGGAAAACCGGTAAATTAGAACAAGACATACAGGAGACTACTACGAGTTTATATGTCATAGGCACCCTTTGCTCGGTGAAGTCGGGTGATTAACGATCCGGGAAAAAGTAATTCGAGGTTATTCTGGGAGCTGTTCCGCTATGAGCTCGACTGCCACAAGGCAACACCCCCTTGTTATAGGTACTTCGACTCTGTAATGGTCCACAATTCCCGGCCAACCAAAGAAGGGTATTCCATCGAGATTTTACTGATTTTGGAACCTACAGCGCTATAGCCAAGTATTTTCAGGTACTAATGATATAGAGCTAAGGGGGGTTGCCTTGCCTTGCGAAGTCCGTCTGCATTGGGCGGCTGGGCCAATGACGCTACCTTTGCCATAAATCGCGTTCTCCAGTACGTCTTGACCTGATTAGCTTGCAGCACTGCACTACAAGGCCTGCAGGGGGCGGCTGTAGGTGCGGCATCCGCGAAGGGCACTAGGGCGTTACTTGGCGTGAGGTATTTGGATTAGTGCTTATTGGGAGGCCATCTCGTTGTCCTAATGGAAAACGAGATGGTTCTGCGCCTTAGGAATATGAAGATATAGGACAATATGGCTATCATAGTTGAACTACTTCCGGTAGGTACCTAGCTACCGAACCAGATCGCGATTATCTTTCTCTCGGATACGCGATGCCGGTCGTAGTCTTCTGCCTGGGTGATCGCGGCCATGTTCATCCATCCAGCCAGCCAGCACACCTAAAATGGTAGTAGCTTACTTGCAGCTGAGATGCAATACCACCCTATCTGGTTCCCACTAATACACTATGAAACAGCCACAGCTCGCCGCCCGATGTCCTCGGTATGACCCCAGCTGAACCACACGTGGGCGACACCTCGAGCTGGCAGACTGGGAAACGAATAGGTCAGCCAAGTGCACTTGACCTTTTCTTAATGTCTCCCAAGCTTTGGTGGCTCTTTTTTCACATCTTGGGCCATCTCATCATCTCAAAATAGCTCCCTTTTATCACATCGAGACCAGTCTCCATACCACGCAGGCAACCAATATAATGATTCGGACAACCACATGCGGGGTGGTGTGCTTCTTTGCTGTTTTCTTTTCCTCTAATATTTTATCCATTTAATCCTATATTCGATCCTTTAATACAGTATGCGTTTCTCAGCTGGCCTATGGCTACTATGGCGTATCATATTGTGGCTACCTCGGGTTGTGACGGCGATAGCCGCTGAAAACTCGTCAACTAATCTCGTTTCTATCTACGAACCCTACCTGTCGCATCTCAATGAGAAGCCTTTCAACTTTAATCCTTACGTCGGAGGGCTAAACTGGAGTATGTGTTGCTATCTGGTTGTCAACGAGAGTCTCTTCATCGATAACAACACGCTTTTCATCCGCGATAACCAAACCTTCTTTACCGGGCATAATATTTCTATACTGGAGGAGTATCCCAGGTTCCCTTGTGGCGCCACATACGAGGGCACCCTGAACGCGCCCCCTACTCAGTTCTGGGCTTCATACTCATGGTGCAATGCCAAGTGTCCTGGCTGGCCTGTGACTAGGGCTTCCGACTTCAATAGATGGCTAAAACCCTTGATTGCGTTTATACTTCCGTCGCTAATATTCTGTCTCAATATCCCACGGCGCCGACGACTAGAGCTACCGGCACAGTTGTTTTCTAATAAATCCATCGATGCATCGAACCTCCTTCTTGTCATCCTCAAGGTACCTATCGCCTCGTTAGTCGTCACCCTGGACATTGTTATTTGGACATGCGTGGTGTTCTCGACGGCCAGCCCGATGATCACTTCGGGCTTGTACGAAGCTTTTCTAGACGCCAGAGTTTTAACCTATCTCGAGAGTCGAACCAATGACAATATATATACAGAAAAGGAGAAGGCTCATACCCTCCTCTCCATCCTAATCGGTAACCTTGATATTGATGCTTGGGATTCAAGCAGACTATTTGTTGAAGGCCTCCCTGGCCGCGAAATACGGCCAAGTGCCAGCAATGATCGGATAATGGCAACGCCAAACACATCCAGACTCAACTCGGCTACTTCCCATCGGTCACATGATGACATCCTACCAAATACTCCTGGAGGGGGCCATTCCAAGCCAATCTCAGACAGCTGGAGGGTCGATACTGTCAAATGGAGGTTAAGGGCCATGCTAGATTCCCAAGTTAGCTTTGGAAGTTCAGTTGGGGCTCCGGTGCTCTTTTACATTGCATCGTTTGTCTGGTCCGTGTACGAAGTCCGCGAAGACTTAGGATCCTAGTAGGCTACCTCCTTTGATCTCTGCGTTAATATCCTCCGTATTCTTTCTCCTGTATCCCTATCAATTTCCTTCTTCCTTCTCTCGATTTTGTTCCCTTCTTTAGATATTCCAGTCCGTGAAGCTAATGAGTTATGCTAGTGTCACTGCGCATCAATTAGCGGCTGGCATGTTCTGGATGACAATACCTCACATTGCTCTAGTCAGCTGTCTTCTTCTTGCGGGGAACAATCCGAATATCTGGCAGAGTGCCGTTACCGAGAGTTTCTTTTCCCACAATAACAGCCAAAGACCGGGTCGCCTTGCCTTAGAACCATTCTACAATGGAGTTCGAGGATACAATACAGAAATCCCAATAAATACCTCGACAGTGCCAAACCAACCTAAGTCTTTTATTTCCCGAATATTCGATCACGTATTCGTACTAGCCTATCGAGAGTCAGCATTCAGACCCGCGTGGATGTGGAATAGGGGCTCGAGCAAGGCCCTGTGGGTTTGGAAACTCGGTCAGCAATACCCACATCTCCGAAACATGTATAACGAGGTTCTAGAAGATCGTTTTGGAAAGGACCTATGGGCCTCTAGCTTCTTTGGCTTCTTTCTCTATTTCGTGCCCATATTCTTTGGCACATTAGTCAGGTACCTTGATTGAGTCCTCCATTTTACCTGCACGCTAACATATCCAGCTACAACACGCCCCAGGCCGGCTTTGGATGCCGCTCAATTGTCATCTTAGTTTACGCAGTATCCCAGTTTGTTCTTCAACTGCTGTGGGTACTTCGTTGGTATTCTTTCGATCGAGGTGAGAGGCGGAAAAACAACAGTTTCCTGTACAGAGCTGCGAAGTCGACAATGGTCAGTTATGTCTGGTACAGTTTGTTCGCACTCGCTACATTTTTGGGTGCTTTGTCGAGTATCGCAGGGACTAGTAAGTTGATGGTTGGAACCAACACTGTGGAAACCATACGACTGACCATGAGTTAGTATTTACGCTGATAAATGTCTTGACGAACTGTTTCTGTGCACTCCCGGTAACTATCTCTCCCCTGAAGCGTGTGGACCAACGGAAATCGCTTACTATCACACAGGCTCAGTACTGGTGGAGCCGCTGGACAAACCCCGACGCGCTTATCTTCTTCGATGACTCTACTAAGGATCAACTTGACTACGCGCAGAGGTATTGGTTTCCAGCCGGAGTTGTTAGCGTCGTGTTCATGGTCATTGTGGCTTATATTGGATGGTGGTACCAACGGAGTCTGCGCCATCGGTTCAGTGACTTGGTTGATAAAATCGACTATGTTTTTGAAATGAATCTCGATGAGTTCCAAGATGGCACTTACAATGATGGTGGAAATTCTACCAGAGGAGAAGATGCGCCGTCGGAAAGGATGTAACTGTAGTACATAATAAGTACCTATTTATATTACCTCGTCCAAGTTACTTTGTAGTATTGGTGGTTCGCGCATGCTGGATTTTCTTATCCTTTGTCGGTGTATCTCAGAGTCTAATATCTGAGGTCTTACTCAGGAAGCCTTACGAACAAGTTACTGAGTGCATTCATAGCAATAGGTTTAGGTTGTTTAATCTGTTAGCTAGGCAGTTCCTGGATGCCTAACAGGGCTCAACAAAAGTTTTTGCCAGGAGTTTCCCGTATGGTTTGCATAGCTGTATTTGTGGTGGAATCATGGAGATAAACACCATATGTGATTATCTTGAGTCGCTTTTGCCTTTTTTTTTGATATAAAACTGCATAAAAAGATGAGAAAAAAGGGCAAAAATACTAGTCACGCCGTGGATCGAACACGGAACCGTCTCCGTTTCATTGAACAAGTTAAATGTAAAGGAGAAATCATGACCATTAGACCACGCGACTTATATAACATTTGTGACGCTTATTCAGGCTTTTGACGCTTGTGGACATTAGCGCAACCCACCGACATCGACGCTACCTTCCGCACCTAGCCGGACAGTCTGCCTATTGTACGAATGCATGAATAACAAGTGAATTTCGCATACATTGCTGTCTTGTTTGAGCTGGTTTAATTTGGGATGTGTATCACACTCTACTGTGGTTCTGCCCGGGGTTAACCAAAGAGGAGCCTGTTTGTTACGCATGATGGCTTAGATACATATGATAGGCGTCTCAAAACTCATAAAGAGATTGCAAGAACTACAAACACACAATGATTTCATGAAATATCATTATAAAGAGCTGGGTGCGCTAAAAGTACCGAATGCTTGTCTCGTAAAAGCACTGAGAGTCAGAAGCAGTCCCTAGGACTAGTGTCCTGATTACGTCAGCCATAAGCTCCCCCCTTTTAATGGGATTTTCTCCAACAGGTGCCTACTTAAGTACGTCAAGGTACTCAAAGTCCTATAAAGGGGAAAATATATAAGTGCCTACTTAGTACGTCGCTACCTATTTCTATAAGGCAATACCATTTTCTTTCCAAATCTCGTATGCCAGCTTACCCATTTTGCTTGATCGTATAACTTCCGATGTAGATTGCCTTTCTTACACCAGGCCAATACTATACATCAATCCATATAAAAACGCTACCTAAGTCTTTTATTATCTGCCACCATTCTTAGTGGTATCTTAAGTATCTTATATTTAGAAATTACACATCAATAACATTTAAAACCATCGGCCCCTCGCGAGGCATACAAAGTAACCGAGGACCGCATCCAAGTTTAATAATTTTATGATCTACTCTATGTGGGGCTTACTCCTATAGCTTTCCTATATCTATTATCCAAATGTCTTTTTAGCTGTAAATACTAGGTAGAAATTTTTAAGTGAAACGTCGCCCTTTTCATCTCGAAGCTCACGGTAGAGCAATACATGGGTGCCTACCTAAGTGCCGGGAAACTTCTGGAGATAGATGACAATGTGTTTTTTATCCTTTTAGTCGATCTAATCAGTTCTTAGTCAACAATGTCCACCTTATTTTAACCCCCTCCCAAGTCCACCTCCTAGGTGCCTAGGAGGCTACATCCAAAAAAAAAAACGCGTCAGGCAGTTTCCGACCATGTTACACCGTAGACTAGGTATTCAACAACACTCAATCGACCAACACATATAAAGTGAACTTCCCCTCACATAAAACAAATGTTTCGCTTTCCCCCTTTCAAATACGTTACTACCTAGTATTTTCTTTCTATCCGGCTCATGTGCAAAACCTCGACTCAAACCGCCTTCTTACATTCCCCCAATCTGTCGCTCCATAGCTCGTTTAGATTGGAGATACTATCATTTATTGTAAAACCCCCAAAGGCCTACCGCTCCTCATCAGAGTAAACACGATGGATAACAGACGAGATGGGTTTGAAAGTGACCAGAATCAATACTTTCGCGACTCGCACTATCTACGTTACTTGGAGAGCCTTGAGTATGATCCACCAACCCGGGCTCATAGGATACCTACCTAGGTAACCATACTAACGTTTGCTATAGTTATCCAAGTGATCCTCGGGATGATTATTTACCTCCCACCGGGAGTCAAAGTTATCCACAGCACAACTTCGTGATACTCAACATGGGATCGAATGACGACCCGAGCACAGAGGAACAATACACAATGCAGCGCCAACAACGTCCAGATTCAAGACCAATGCCTGTTGGTTTTAACTCGATCCATGGGCATAACACCACCCATACCCGTGAATTCGGACGAACCTCTTTTCGCTCTCCTACGACCTGGAACGAATTTACACCAGCTTACCATACCCAAGAGTATCATCGACGCCTTCTGGAATATCAAATCCAGAACAGCACCCTCTCTAGCCTTCGAGATGGAGTCCCGGGAATTACTCACCTCCCAAACATCTACCTAGGTGGCCAGATTGACCTCTTTCGTACCGGTAACACACCGATCAGAGACCTCAATACAAGCATCTGGGACGGTTTTAATTCGCAAAACTGTGCGCTGCACATTGAAAACCTCCCTCCAGATTGTACCATAGCAGACCTTCTTGGCTCGATCAAGGGAGTCGGAAAAGTCTTCGCGTCCAATGTCCGCCCGCCTGCTGGCAAGTATCTCTCCTCGGCCGCAAAGATCGTGTTCTGGGACAGAGCTGCCGTGGACAGACTACTCGCATTGGTCGAGCAGGGAACCTTCATTGTCGGAAATTACGCACCAAGAGTTAAGCCAAATGCTCACAAAAGCCTGCCACAAGGTCCATCCGATGCCTCTCGCGTAATCATCATCTATGGGCCCGCCGCGATAATCTATAAGAAGTATCTTGCATACTTCTTTGGGTCACTCTTCCAGTTCGATCTAGAAAGTGTTCGCACGCTCTATGAGTCGGGCCTCCACACGGCGCTGGAATTCCGATTTGCGTCGTATAGACTGCAGGCATCGAACGCAGCGAAGTTCATCGATATGGCTGTGCGAGGACAGCATATCAAGGGAGTCAACTTGACCATGGGGGAGATGGACTTATGGAGAGAGGTCCAGTACACGTGGGGGGTTGACCCTTGCGCATGATTTTGTAACTGTTGTTGCAGCTCCTGTATATCTCTCATGTACCATGGAATGTGCCGGCGATATTGGTGACAGAAGGTGTCCAGAAGTATAGAGATGAACAAGGACGCTAGACAGGAGTGGGTTTCGTAAAGATTAATATAAGAGGTACAGAGTGAATTCTCAGAACGAAGTATGATGTTTGATGAAAAATATGTTGACGGCTTAGCTGCCGTCAAAGAAGGCAGTTTCTTACTTAGTTTAATCCACCAGCTTCATGGTAAATTGATGATGCGATGGGCTCAAAGATGTGTTAGACAGTATAACAGAGGCAGGCAATCTCGTAGGCTGCCACGGTGAGTCTAAACCAAAAAAGAGAATATGAAGTTCTAGTGTTAGGTAAGCGCCAACATTTCATACAAGACCTTTTGATAGGGGAAGTGAGATTTAACTCCCTGGAAGTTTCTACGAGACATGTTGTAAGGGTTCTTTATTTGGTGACGAAACGCAGTATTGGAACAGATCACAACTAAAACTGGTATTTGATACTGTCGATACTAATTTACGGCAAAGTATAACCTCCATCTATAATCAAGTCCGCACCTAATCACAGTCGTCAGCCCACGAACGCAAAAATAGGAATGCATTACTTACCAGTGACATAGCTACTGGCATCACTAGCCAGAAATACATAAGCCCCTTTTAATTCCGATGGTTTGCAGAATCTACGACCAGGAATCATCTCATTCCACTGACTCCTCAATTCGGGCGGGTGAACGTCGAGCACTAGACGGGGTTTGTTAGCATATCATGATACACCCAACCCTCATGGTAAAATACTTACTATCTGTTTCAATAAACCCCTAACATCAAGGTAAGTTAGCAAGCGACGGTGATAAAATGCGACACGACACAACATACCGGCGAAATATTATTAACCCTCACGAAATCCACCCACTCCACAGACAGCGATTTTCCAAGGTGCACAAGCGCAGCTTTGCTCGCGTTATACGCGGCCTGCTTCTGGGGGATATTGACCAGCGTAGCGGACACCGACGCGGTGAAGATGATGGAAGCACGATGCGGCGCCCCGTCGTCCGCCTTGTACTGCCTCTCGAACACGCGCGCGGCGGCCTGCGCGGCCCAGAACGCGCCGTTGACGTTGACGTCGAACAGGTTGCGGAACTTGTCCTCGGGGTAGTCGAGGGCGGCGATGTTATCCGTGACCCCGGCGTTCGCGACCAGGATGTCCAGGCGGCCCTCGCCCACCTCCCGGGCCGCGGCCTCGACGACGGCCTCGACGTCCGAGCGCGAGCGCACGTTGCACTTGTACGCCTTCACCAGGCGCCCCTCGTTCGCGCCGGAGATCTGCGCGGCGATGGCGTCGGCCTCTTGCGGCGGCGTGCTGGTGTATGTTATGGCCACCTTGGCGCCGGCCTCGCAGAGCCCCCGCGCTACTTCCAGCCCGATGCCTCGACATCCGCCTGTCACGAGGGCCGTCTTGCCGGCGAGTTGGAAGTGCGACAGCACCGGGTCTTCTGGGTTGGGGTGGGGCGCGAGAACCATGGTGATGTGATGATGATGACTTGAACGGCAGATGAGTAAATTTGGAAATTTTATAAATTTTAAGAAAGGAGTAGAAAATATTTTATATGTCCAGACTCAGCTCAGTCACACACAGGGCCGAATAACTGTTCGGATTGCCGTTTTAGGAGGATTGGTTGTATGGAAGCGGAAGGGTGACGATGTCTTGGCACGCGAGTTATGCGCTCGGTCTTGCATTTATGCGGAGACTGGGATACATCATACCGAGATCTAGACTACTAGGGATAGACTAATGGGTACGCATATGCGTATGTCTAGATCCCCTCCAATCATATATCGTATGTGATGGGCAGCTGAGGTAGCTATCACGGGACCCTCTTTGGAGCTTCTCCTCATCTAGTGGGCTCTTGGACGGGTTACATGGGTGACAAACATGTAGGACTGCGCAACGCGAATTTTTTTAAAGGGGGGCAATCATAATGATGGTCCAACAAAGTTCAAGGTGAGCCGAGCGAATGAAAGCCGTTCCTGGTCCATCTTAAAAATTCCGACTCACTGAGGCCGTTAATCATAACCTTCAAGGTATCGTCATGGCCTTTCTTGACGTGTTCGAAGGCTTCTCTGGCATCCGCAAGATCGAACCGGTGGGTGATGAGAGCACGCGGATTTATCTTACCCGAAGCGATCAGTTCGATAGCGGAGGGAAAATATCCTGTTGTGAGGTAATGGATGGAGCCTTTGATACTTAAAGCTCGCACGCAAGCTGTGGTAATCGGGAAGACGACATTCTAGGTATTTATCGTCTGTAGCAAAACAGCAAACTGGAAATGGCTGCAGTAATGGGCGCGGAAGGGAGAAAATA